TCGGTTTTTAGATGATAGAGAAGTGATATGGCTTACATTATGAGCACGGTCATTTGTTCTGCGTCTGGGTGTAATTTATCTAAAATATGTAAAAAAAATGCGACTGCACGGATAGCGCAGTGGTTTAAGCGATCGAAACACCGATCACTACTACGCTAAGTGTTGTGGGTCCGATCCCCACATGGGACGACACTTTGTGTGATCTACAAATTTTTGTTCTGAGTCTGGATGTTTTTTGTGTAAGTTTCATGTATGTCTTTACAAACATACATGAAACGGACACAAAGAACCCGTGACACAGGATACATTCCTAATGCGGAAGTTGTCTTTTTTTATAATACTTACTACTTAATTTAAAAATATATAAGTGTGTTTATCAGCAGTCTGGTTACCACAGGCTCTGCCTAGTTTGGGATCAGACGGCCGTGTGTGAGATGTGTGAGGTATATATTATTATATTATTACAAACGTTCAGTTAACTAAAATATAAATAAAAGTACGCCATCTGGTTTCAATCTAGCACTGCTGAAATAAATTAATACCACTCGTGTTTTTTGTGATTACATCAAATAAATAAGTGAAAAAAACTTACACTAGGTATTTAGCAAGTATACGACATTTTATGCTCCACACTAGCGCTTAAATGTGATTGGTACAGTTGTAATATCCTTCGTCAGGATATAGCAACACGATGTTGTAGTTAAATAAGAACAAAACACAATTCCCCATTGAAAAGTTACAGTTTCCAGTCACATCATATCCAGAATACCATCGATATGAACCGACCCTCAAGCATTCAATAGTTTAGGAAATTAACAAGAATACTGATAAATTCATGATAAATATCAGATATTAATGGACATTCATCAAGAACTTCTCAATTGGTATTACTACCACATACTGGCTTCATTTTATAGAAATAAGTGCAAACAACACCAGAGGTGTCAGCCACACTTTACTAGCACTCTCTCTTCCTCCCTCCATAGAGCTCTCTATTTACCTCACTAAGAGGCAGATATGCTGAGGTTAGTTAACTAGAGTACTAAGACAATGGTTTCTGTAAGGGTAAGTTACTTTACGGGAATCCTATGGCAACATAGAAGTAACACATTGTTGGGAGAGTATGTAACATATATTTGTGTAATTATTGGCAGACTGAAATTCCTCTATAATCAAAATGAGGAAAACTATTAAGGGAAATACCAAACATATCATTATAGAACAGACATTATATAAAGGAAAATACTGAAGGCAACAAAAATGTTGCACGGTTGTGACAAAAATTGATGTAAAGGATGATAAATGTGTGTACCAATTAGCACTTGCTAATGTCACTTCCTCTGATAATTGTCACTAGTGTTACAGCATACTCATATCACAAAAAGACATATTGTGTTGTGTAGAAATAATCCAATTCAGAAACTGTTTAAATTAATAATGCCAATTAATTGTCCTTAGCTGACTGTATTCATATTGACAAGAAAGAAAATGAATGTAGTTGTAATAAAAAAGTATTTCTAATCAGTAGGTTTATACCATTAAGTTTATTAAGAGATCATTGCATTGCCCATTTACAATTGTATGCAAAAGCTGTTATAGCAAATCCTGTAGGAAGTCAGTCAGGCGTAATTTTGCTATGTCTATTAATATATGGTTTTTCTACTGATATTGGTAGTAAGACTAAAAAGTGTACCAAAAAAATATACAAGTCAATTTGTTATTTGTAGCTATGTGATAGATTTATGTTATAATGGACTATACATGATGGATATAATAGATTATGTTATAAATGATTGAATTTAGAAATTCTCAAACCTCTTTTCTCACAAGCATACAAAACCACTACATTATGTCAAGTAGCTTATCTGTATTTATACTATTTATGTTTAGTAATATAAAAGGTTTTGATATTTAACTTTTAAAATTAATGGTAAACAAAAGTTATTTAAATAAATAGCATAATGGCATACTGGAACCTATTGATTTACATCTGATTACTTAGTGTAATTACAACGATTAAGTTCATTAATTTTAGTTTATTGTTATCTATATATTATAATAAATAATGGATATTAATTTGTATATTTATAAGTTTGAGTAAGTTTAAGTATATATTTTGATTTTATTTCAATGTAATAATACTTCTATTTAAAGCACTCTATTATGGATTCATTATTCCAATCTAAACAAGTGGTTATCAATGGAGAAATAATCAATCCAACTAGATTAGAACATAGAAACAAATGTTTGGTATTTCAAAAATAAATTATAGCTTATAATTACTGAAAATCTAATCACATATTCAAAGAGAGAGTAGGAGAGATTAAACATACTCATTGTGTATACATAGTAATACTTTCATTGGATTTTTGAGTGTCCCTCAGCCTTATAGAAAGTAACTACTTCATTCCACCGCAGGCAATTTTCCTATGGTACTTCAGTAAGAGTGGGGACACAGTAAAGTTGTCATTAACAGAGTAATCCTACCAAAAAGTGTTTCAAAAGTGCATCAAGAATCTTTATCATGTAATGATATATAATGAATCACTGATGGTCAATTTAACATTGTATTATCTATTTAGGATGCAATCATCAACTTACAGACTCAATTTTTAAATTGCTAAGAAAACTTGAATGGCCTTACTTAGTATCTGAAGTATGGTCAATCTGTTAGTGATTAAAAAAATCCATATTTTTTTGTGTTCCACAAGAGCGTATTGGGTCTAAGGTTTTTTATTTTATACCCTAATTTTGTTTGCTATACCACAATGAAATATAAGTATTTTCACAGACAACATAGTTTGTGTTTCAAATAGAAGAAAGTGGTTAGAAAATTATAGTCACACATTAAAACCCTTTCTCATAGTCTTCTCATACTAAATGCAGAAGGCAATTTTATAACTTTTTCTTGAGACTCTTATTGGACAGCACAGTAACCTCCAATAACAGCTCATCTCAGTTGCTATAAGTACAAATGATGATTCTATAACTGCCTATCTTTAGTTCACATAATTGATACCAACACAAGTCACATGAAACATATTCAAAATATGGTTATAATATAAATAATATACTTGGTTCAATAACAGAAAATAATTATGTTTTAGAACACTTGAGGTACTTATTTGCATGTGTTATCTTAACTTTGATTAGCACTTATTAGGTATTATGCTTAAAGACAAAAGGGCACAATGAGCTGTCCCTAAACTTCTTCCTACTGTGCCTCAGATGGCACCTTGTAAGTATATTTCAAAATAAAGCAAAAAAATTAAGAGACCACTTATAAGGATTGTACCTCACAAATTTCTATCCAGCCCCTGTCTATACTCTACAGCCATATTATTAAAGAAATTTACATTTATTCAATGCAAATTAATTATATATTTAAAAGCAGCAGACAATATATTTTAAGAACTCAGTGTCTGATACATTTATTCTATGACACCCACATACATATTTAGAAACAATATAATAATACCAATACAGTCAGAAAATGCAGACATTCACATCTCTTTTCACACATACATTCGCTTATATTACACATATAAAATTATTTTTATATGCTAATTACACAATCTACTTGATCCTTTACAATTGTTATCTGACTATGGGTGGTGCTGACATCTGTGATATTGTGAATTCACTACAACAGGTAATAATTTTTTGAAAACATGCTAGGCTAAATACATTAGAGAAAACTTTAAGGTGTTTTTTGCAAATTAAGACAATTTTAGTAATAAGTAACAAAGTTTTGAAACAAAATCTACCATACTCCCAACAATATCTAATTTATTTAAATTATTAATTTTAATGTGCTCTTCAGGAAGCATTTGATAATAAATTGTTAGTTTTTGTCCTTGCTTCAAAGTGATTTAGTGTGTTCACTTATTTTATTTAAAATACTCTACACATCCATGAATAGAATTATAGTTTAAACATTTTAAATACAGAAAGATATAAAATATTTGATTTTTTAGTTAATAGTTACATATATAGGTAAACATTTTTATTTACTTTAAATATGTATTAGTCAAACAAAATAGAAAAAATAAACAGTACTTTAATGTACTACAATAAGGTACTTATTTGTAGATGCTGTGTTTATACTTTTAAAAAAACAAAAACAACATTATGTCTCTTGTCTCTAGCTGATAAAGTGATGATATACATATATATGACTTGCACTTATTGTCTAAACAACCTCCTTGATATAGGTAACCAAAAATATGTTTTTAACATATCATATTATTAGTTCACATATAATAGAAATTCAAATATTTGTCTCCTATAGATGCAGTTACTCTTTTTTACATATGTTGAACCACCACATAGCAACGGTCTGCATATTTCTAAACTCACTGTAAGGTTCCTAACAATTAAATATGCAAAAAAAAATAGTTGTGTACACATATTTTCGAAATTATAAACATACATATAAACAAAAACAACATCATTATGCACAAAATTTGTATTTCGATTAAGAAATATGGTAACCATGGTAGGATAGTTAGTACCTTCATATAACATTATCATATGAGTGTAGTGGATTCGGCGCCGCTAAGTCCCCTAGCTACATCTACATAAAATCAATGAAAACAGTAACGTTATAGATATTTCATGTAACATGTTTGGCTGATATCAAATTTGTGCTAATTGATTATCAGCATTTTCGTAGCGCATCTAAAAATATCTTCTAACCAATTACGCTAACATAAACCTGGAGATAGATTGTTGGGTGTGGTAAACATAGACAGGAGCCGCGAACTCGTTCGACTACTGAACTCTCGCTAACCCTCGACATCCCACAACGATTAGCGTACCAACGGCGCTTCCACCAAATCCTAAGTCGAAGCAAGATCGCGTTCTTGTAACTCGTTATGTAGGTACATGAATCATACTACCTATAGCTACTCGGTACATAAAAATGTATACACAAAACATATCCTATTGAATTTAATGACTTATAAGATACCGCAATATCAAATTTAAAGATACATTACCTTGTCGCATAACGTTTTTACTTGATTTTCTGTCAACTGCTTGCATTCGTTTAGTTGCTCTATCCATTGATCCAGTTCTTTTAGAGACGCCTTGTCCTCCATACTTTGTGTCTGTGGGTTTAACGTGCTACACGTTAACTGGGATTTTGATTGTCTTTATGTTTTAAATGTACACAAAACCATGCGAAATACGTATTTTACACTGTGCCCAGAAAACTGACTACGGCAGACACTTTACAAAATGGCGTTTGCGTGACGTCAATTTTGAGAAAGAAATCCACCAAGCGGCTTTCCAAGTAACTAAAGGTGATGCCATTTATCGAAGCGTTCAGAAAAAAGGAATTTGGGATGGTAGTACTATTGATGAAAATCAATGCTGTAAACGAGGCAACATGAATTTATCTTCGGTATCGAACTAAATAAAAGTTTTTTTTATAAAAAAGTAAATGTACCTCTCAATGGATTCATAGTTTAAATATGGAAAATACTTGACTCATTATCAGTTATGCCTATTTAGCTTTGATAATCGCATTGTAAACACACATAATTTTTATTTTTTTAAACGGGTAATGGAACAAAGTGGTGTGTCCTTTAAAAATATTGAAGCAAAATATATAGATCTGTTTCTGAAGGAGCTTTAAACCCAATAAAAAAATAGCCTTAACGTTATCCATTTCCATCCGTTATCCAACAAAAAAAAAACCTAAGTATAAATTCCGTCACAGAACTTAAATAACAATTAAAATAGATAATAGTTTTTAAAGCCATTCTTTTTACTTATCGTAATCCGTTATTGCCTTATAGAGATAAATAGAAAATATACTGTCATTTATGTTCAAGATCCGTAGCAACAAGTAAAATTATAATTTCCGATACCACTAATTAAGTACATTCTCTATATCGAGTTAGTTTTTAAGTTGCTAAATCACTTACTTTTAACGATCCTGAAGGAACAATTTTTGCTTTGGCCATCGTTTGTGGTGCTTCGATTATGAAGTCCATTTAGAAATTAAGGTAAAAGACCATTTATTTAATAAGTTCACAAAATTTATTGAAAATTAACAAGTACTCAACTTAAATACCACCGATTAAAAGATTATGAATTTAACAAATAAATCTAATATTATTACAATTACATTGCAATCTTTCGTCTATTAAATGTCAAAACAATATTAAGCGCAAATTCTTTGGAATTTTGTTGACAAGATGACATTTCCTTTTTTCGAATAAATTATTTGTACCAATTTCACAATATCATTTTTTAGTTTAATGGAGTTTGAACCTACTTACAGTTAAAAATGAAAAATCGGAATCAAAGAAATATAGGTATTTTAATATATTTGCAATTTACTATAACATTTGTTTAAACTACATGAGTAGGTAAAGTACGGTATATTATTCAGATTTCTAGGTAGTGTAAGTACCACCAAATTCCATGCGGACGAAGTATAAGACCTACATGTAAGAAATACGATGAAATTTGGAATACCTTTACTATTTTCAATTATTTATATATATTTTTTAAATAGGAAAAGGGATGCACTTGTCTGATTTGTAATATATTTGTATAATATGTTGACTTGTTCGTACGTACCTCAAGTCCATAGAATGGCTATTAAGTTTAATGGGAGAGGCCTATGTCTATCAGTGGACTGATGATGATGATGAAGTAAGAGATAATCTTATAAAATAAAACAAAATCAACGTTACGGTCGATTTGACTAGGATTAGAATTTCTTAGTGAAGTCTCTTCCCTAAAATGGGATGGGATGTTTTCAAACACTACTGCAAAGAACAAAAAGTGTACAGGATTCTTTCTTAATGACTGTTATGTCCTATTATTAGTTTATTTGAATTGGGTGTAAATTTTCAACATATCCAAACTACAAAATTCAAAAGAGTAGATCATTAAATACTTGTCAAGTCAATCTCTTAAGTTCCATTTTGCCAAGTGGTTGGCAAGCACTATTAAATTAATGGTTCATAGACCACAAGGTTTAAATTGTATAATTCTTTGGGGAATTACAGTGTTTACTGGTACATGAGACAGCTCCTGGTACCTCCTTAATTTATTTTTTTACACATGGCTTTTCTTGTACGCTAATTTCTTCTTCTTCCTTTTCTAAAATTTTTATTACTTTAACCTTATCGTCTTATGTGCACATTAAATATATTTTTTACCCCTTTTTAAACTAATTTTGATAATAGAGAAATCTAAAATTTGGAATACTCATAGTTTATATTTTATTTTCATCTTCCAGACCCTACCAACTCACTAGTGTATTCTATTCGACGTTAATGCGATTGTTTTTTGGGCGAGTATCTTCTATTCGAAAATACTCTCTACTCTACTAAATTACCATCTTAGATCAAACTAGGGCTTAAAGTGTCTTTTACTTTAGTAGCATGAATAATAAAACAGCAAACTTAAATAAGCCAATTTTTCTGTAATCAATAGGAACGACCCATCCATAGTCACTGGTTAAACCAAAAATACAAATGTCCAAGTCAAATTCCATAGAGTAAATTTAAGTTCACTTTACATTCCGTTTCAGTCTTTCTTTCTGGTACCAAATCTGGTTTCTGTCGAGTGTTCTTTTCGCTTTTGCGTCGGGTCCGGAGAGTTCGCGCTTAACCGCTCGATAGCTGTTATTTAAAAATGACTGAAACTTTAAAGCTCAGAGGAACCCTTTGTGGTCACAATGGCTGGGTTACGCAAATGCCACCAATCCGAAATACCCGGACATGATTTTGTCTTCATCGGCGTAGGTAAGGTAAGTTCATGTCTTCTGCGGTCTTGAATTAAAATCCGTTTTCATCAGATTTAAATCGCCCAAATTCTCTATAACAGAATCAAAATAGCTCAATCATAGCCATAACTTAATACTAATTTTAACTTATTTATGTGATGAAACCATTTTTGCCACGCGAATCCTGAGCGGCAAGCGGATATGGGGCTGATTATATTCTTTCCAACGAGCTGTTAACGTGTAATGCATTTCATATTCCTATAGTCTTCCAATTTCTATTTCAGACAAAACCCTGATCGTGTGGAAGTTAACTCGTGACGAAACTAACTACGGTGTGCCACAGAAGCGTCTTTATGGTCACTCCCACTTCATCTCAGATGTTGTTCTCTCCAGTGACGGCAACTATGCCCTCTCTGGTTCATGGGACAAGACCCTGCGTCTTTGGGATCTCGCCGCCGGCAAGACTACTAGGCGTTTTGAGGACCATACTAAGGTGTGACAGAACTTTACCATTGTGTTAGGATTATAGTTTAAGTGCCGATGCGCGGCAGAAGACCAGTGTTTATGTGCCTTTGCGAGGCAGAAGATCTCTTGTCGCTTCTATGAGTGCTATCCCTAGGAATTACGGGAGGTAAGATTGTACACAGCCATCAAACACGTTAATCGTTACAGCTTAGGCACCGTTCTTTAATTATTGATATGTGGCAATTATTTGTATATAAAAAATTGCTCATATTTCATGCGTGCACTTGCACTAAAATGTATTGTAAAGTGAAAGAACTAGTCACCAAAATATTTTTATGTTATCCAGGATGTCCTGTCGGTGGCTTTCTCGGTAGACAACCGTCAGATCGTATCTGGGTCTCGAGACAAGAACCATCAAAGCTATGGAACACTTTAGCTGAGTGCAAGTACACCATTCAAGATGATGGCCATTCTGATTGGGTATCCTGTGTCAGATTCTCACCCAACCATGCCAACCCCATCATTGTGTCTGCGGGTTGGGATCGCACTGTCAAGGTTTGTTCTAATTAATTTTAATCTGTGATATTGATGTAAGAAAATTTGTGGATTTTATCTAATTAAGTTCATATTCTATTATAGGTTTGGCATCTCACCAACTGCAAACTCAAGATCAACCACTTGGGACACTCTGGCTACTTGAACACAGTTACAGTTTCACCTGATGGATCTCTTTGTGCCTCTGGTGGCAAGGACATGAAGGCCATGCTGTGGGACCTCAACGATGGCAAGCACCTCCACACCCTGGATCACAATGACATCATCACATCATTGTGCTTCTCACCTAACAGATATTGGCTATGTGCTGCCTTTGGACCTTCTATCAAGATCTGGGTATGTATTACATTTGTTCACTACTTACATGTACCGTTGGCCTAACTAAAAGAGCAGCTAGCTTTCAAATAATAAAAATATAAGATATAACATTCCAAATGAAATTTAATCATTAATAAAAAATCATAGAACAAGGTATGCCTCATGGTTCATAATGATTATGGCATATCAATTTCCATTTGTAAACCCCTTTGTGTTGAAGCCCTTGCAAATGGTCTATCAATATAATAACATGACAATTTGATTTTTTTCAGGATTTGGAAAGCAAGGAGATGGTTGAGGAACTCAAACCAGAGATCATCAACCAAACCCAGACATCCAAATCAGACCCACCGCAGTGCCTGTCTCTAGCTTGGTCTACAGACGGCCAGACCCTCTTTGCTGGATATTCCGACAATATCATCAGAGTCTGGCAGGTTTCAGTCTCTGCACGATAACATGTCTAAGATATTAGTTTCATTTATTTTGTACTTCCATTCTTTAACTATGTATCACAGTAAGGATAAAAATAAATGAAATTGTTTGACTTTATTATAGCATTTTCATTGTGATCTCCTTTTAAGGTTAGATATAAGATTATGTTAGTTTCCATGACAAGCTTAGGGTTAATAACATGTAAGGTCAGTCATACATGTCATGTATAAATTATGTATATTTTATGGTAAATAAAACTGTTGTCAATAGAGAAATATTTTTCTTTTAAACAAAATTAAGATAATGAGAGCTATGCAAAGTAGACGTATCAACTTCACAAAACACTGATTAAAGGATTCATGTCACTACTTACCAGAGTGAAGAGGGGTGTTACAGTTTCGTCGACTGAATCTGCTTAGCACGAGATGTCCGTATGGATAGGGGAGCCATTTCAGATTTTAAACGGAAACACCCCTTATTGTGTGCGTTACCCCAGCAAAATAATGTCGAAAATGGTCATTTAAACTTAATAGATATTTAGTTGCTCCCCTTCTGTAATTGTTAAGCACATTTTTAAATTTGTTTCACTTAAACTTTTTTAGTTATTTCAAAAAAATATTTCCTGCTGGGGTAACGTTTGAAACGTTACCGCAGCCAGACATTTTCTTTTTTAATTGTAATATTGAAATAAATTTTAGCTAATAATTAGTTATCTGGACTAGGTAAATGTTACAACTTATTTGGTATTTGTATTTTCTTCGGGTGCGAAGTTATTCGAAATCCTGCTGGAGTAACGTTTGTGGGTTTGCTGGATCTCTGAAACGGGTAAGCGGATTGTAACCATCTTTTGTACATAACTTCTTAAGGATTAGTTTTTAATTTGTTCGACAATAAAATAACAATAATAATGGACCGTTTAAAAAATTATTTAGGTAAGTATGAAAACACTTCAATACGTCCTAACACTTTAAATAAGACCTCTAAAGACTTACTTGAAACGTTATTCTATTGCTTGTAACTACCTTCAAATGTATACGAATTTTCGTAAGAATACTGTAAGTGACTAAAAAGTTATGATGAAATGTAGCTCTCCACGTTCACGATCACAATGTGTGCGGCCTTTTTTGGCCACCGATAAACCTGTGTGTGGATATATAAACTGAATGTTATGCCAATAATTAGTTGTTTAGTTCAGTTGTCTACCTGTAAAATTTCAGCGTAGTACATATAATAATTTACGAGATAATTAAATAAAAGTCATTAGAAGGTGCAAGACCGTGGTACCCGACCATGTTTTAGGTGGTTACAAAAAAGCGATCACCCAGTACATTGTGCTGGCTTTTAAAATATGTAGGATATTATTTGCAAGTTTACTACGGAGTATTGTACATAAGTGTTACAAAAAACTACATGTTTTTTAAATATTTTTTATTTAGGATTGTTTATTGCATAATTAGTAATCAGCCGGGAGATAGGTATTGTTTTGAATGCTTTTGTTTCTCGTAATGTTTAGGTGAATTGTTTATAGTTGTTCATAGAATTGGTACCTGCGTAGTATTTGTTAATTGAAGTTTAATTTTAGGGTAGGTATAGGTAATTTAAGAAATATGAAATGGAAATGATAAGTTTTGAAGAGTGTAACGTATGCGTTGTAAATAGGTAGTTTTGTGAATAGATGGGGATTTTTTTAAGTGATGTATCGACTTAAGCTAGCATATCGAGACAAACTCTGTAAGGCATTATTTCTGTAATAATGTTGGAGAAAAATAAAATATTTGATCACAAAATCGTGGTGAGTTAAATTATAATTAAATAAATTATTTATGTAAAATTAGTAATAAGTGATATACCTACCTACAAGTTATGATCGTTTTTAATTTGTTCACCCTGAACGAAATTTCAATATAAGCATTAGTAATTAATATCCTAAGACAAGAATTGACAATTACTTAAATTGAATCGAATTAGCATTAATGCCCATTATTAGTAATTAGGTACACACATATTGAAGAACTCTCAAGAATACGATAAATATTTGCAAAAATAGAAAGCGGAAGCGCACACGCACTTTACAAGACGTATATTATCTGCCTAAGGGTCAAGTTTAGTGCACTAGATGCACATTGCAAACAATGAAGTATCCCTTCGCCCCTCCCCTCCCGCGTTCTAGCGAAGGGTGTATTATCAGCGATTCTTGATTGACAAATATTATCTGACCAATAATTTTATCTATAAAAATGTATCACTTTCACTCGATAAATTAAATTACCGTTATTATATCAAAATATCATTCAACAACTGTTCGTTTTTAACAGAAATCAACATGTCACGGGCTCACGCTTAACGGTAGGTACATAGGTATAGATAATTCTCGGTTCTCGGTATAGACCACAGAACAATATTTCCTACTCTTACGAGGTATACGACTGTTGGGCGATGCAATGTTGATGCATTCTAATTTACAACTGTATTCTTCTACTATTGGGTCTATTTTAACTTATTGTAGATGACTTGTTCCTTTAAATATTTTGATGCATTCAAGTCTAAGCTCTATATACCCCAAAATAAAATACAATTACTTTAGTGTTATTTCTTTACTAAAAAAAAATCAAAGAAATGAAACGATTTCTTATTGGTTTAAATTTTCGATTGTATTGCAGTCAAGGGTGAAATCGTTCATACATGTATCTACATATTTATAATTTTAGCGGACCAGTGCAGATTTTCTGTTGATTGTAGCTCCGGTAGTAAAAAAGACTAAAGAAATTTTAAGTAAAGAAACTAGTGCTTAAGATCAATTAGGGAAAATAACAAAATAAATAAAAGGTAATAATAATGAATAAATATTGAATGTATTTAACACTGTACGCAACTGTACCGAAATCGTAAGGTGTATTACACTAAACATTTTAAAAGACAGCGCAATGTACTGGGTGATCGCTTTTTTGTAACCACCTAAACATGGTCGGATTACCACGGTCTTGCACCTTCTAATGACTTTTATTTAATTATCTCGTAAATTATTACATGTACTACGCTGAAATTTTACAGGTAGACAACTGAACTAAACAACTAATTATTGGCATAACATTCAGTTTATATATGCACACACAGGTTTATCGGTGGCCAAAAAAGGCCGCACACATTGTGATCGTGAACGTGGAGAGCTACATTTCATCATAACTTTTTAGTCACTTACAGTATTCTTACGAAAATTCGTATACATTTGAAGGTAGTTACAAGCAATAGAATAACGTTTCAAGTAAGTCTTTAGAGGTCTTATTTAAAGTGTTAGGACGTATTGAAGTGTTTTCATACTTACCTAAATAATTTTTAAACGGTCCATTATTATTGTTATTTTATTGTCGAACAAATTAAAACTAATCCTTAAGAAGTTATGTACAAAAGATGGTTACAATCCGCTTACCCGTTTCAGAGATCCAGCAAACCCACAAACGTTACTCCAGCAGGATTTCGAATAACTTCGCAGCCGAAGAAAATACAAATACCAAATAAGTTGTAACATTTACCTAGTCCAGATAACTAATTATTTAGCTAAAATTTATTTCAATATTACAATTAAAAAAGAAAATGTCTGGCTGCGGTAACGTTTCAAACGTTACCCCAGCAGGAAATGTTTTTTTGAAATAACTAAAAAAGTTTAAGTGAAACAAATTTAAAAATGTGCCTAACAATTACAGAAGGGGAGGTGTGCGTTACCCCAGCAAAATAATGTCGAAAATGGTCATTTAAACTTTATAGATAATTAGTTGCTCCCCTTCTGTAATTGTTAAGCACATTTTTAAATTTGTTTCACTTAAACTTTTTTAACTGTAGACGTTGACGTAGACGTAGACGGAGTAACGTTTGTGGGTTTGCTGGATCTCTGAAACGGGTAAGCGGATTGTAACCATCTTTTGTACATAACTTCTTAAGGATTAGTTTTAATTTGTTCGACAATAAAATAACAATAATAATGGACCGTTTAAAAATTATTTAGGTAAGTATGAAAACACTTCAATACGTCCTAACACTTTAAATAAGACCTCTAAAGACTTACTTGAAACGTTATTCTATTGCTTGTAACTACCTTCAAATGTATACGAATTTTCGTAAGAATACTGTAAGTGACTAAAAAGTTATGATGAAATGTAGCTCTCCACGTTCACGATCCCAATGTGTGCGGCCTTTTTTGGCCACCGATAAACCTGTGTGTGGATATATAAACTGAATGTTATGCCAATAATTAGTTGTTTAGTTCAGTTGTCTACCTGTAAAATTTCAGCGTAGTACATGTAATAATTTACGAGATAATTAAATAAAAGTCATTAGAAGGTGCAAGACCGTGGTAATCCGACCATGTTTAGGTGGTTACAAAAAAGCGATCACCCAGTACATTGCGCTGTCTTTTAAAATATGTAGGATATTATTTGCAAGTTTACTACGGATATGTACATAAGTGTTACAAAAAACTACATGTTTTTTAAATATTTTTTATTTAGGATTGTTTATTGCATAATTAGTAATCAGCCGGGAGATTAGGTATTGTTTTGAATGCTTTTGTTTTCTCGTAATGTTTAGGTGAATTGTTTATAGTTGTTCATAGAATTGGTACCTGCGTAGTATTTGTTAATTGAAGTTTAATTTTAGGGTAGGTATAGGTAATTTAAGAAATATGAAATGAAATGATTACCCCAGCGTTACCCCAGCAAAATAATGTCGAAAATGGTCATTTAAACTTTATAGATAATTAGTTGCTCCCCTTCTGTAATTGTTAAGCACATTTTAAATTTGTTTCACTTAAACTTTTTTAGTTATTTCAAAAAAACATTTCCTGCTGGGGTAACGTTTGAAACGTTACCGCAGCCAGACATTTTCTTTTTAATTGTAATATTGAAATAAATTTTAGCTAAATAATTAGTTATCTGGACTAGGTAAATGTTACAACTTATTTGGTATTTGTATTTTCTTCGGCTGCGAAGTTATTCGAAATCCTGCTGGAGTAACGTTTGTGGGTTTGCTG